ACTCTATTTAATTTTAAAAAATTATAAACACAAATTCACAATTTTAGATACCAACCCTTTTTATGGTACAATGTCAGCTAGCCATGTAAAGTAGAACTTAACACACATATGGAAAAATCAAATTCTCAAATTCTATAGATGGTGTCTCGCACTATCTCCAGCGGAAACTGGAAGTGCTAGTGTTCGAAAAAAAAATCCCTTAACAAAAACAAAACACCTCTAATCCAACTCGGCACCATTCTTCGAAATTACCTAGGGATGGGTTTTTGTCGTTACAACAACAACAAAACCAACAACCTCAAATACAAAAGATCGCATACATTTTTATTGCAATTCTTAATACAATATTTAATTTTTAAAAGTGAATGTCTTAGAATACCGGGATTCAAAATTTCCGCGTCAAATAACGAAGTTATGTCGTATTTGTCAATTAAAGCAATGTATACAGTAAGGAAGGACGGATCCAGAGTCGAATTTTGGGGGGAAGTTTATAATTTTGTACTTGCAAGTCAAGATATTTTTCTTCGCGGTGTATCACTTTTGATGGAAATAATGAATAACTTTTAACTTTTGGGGGGCGCTAAGGCGGAGCGGGGAACTCTTCGTAGTTCCCCTCTATCGTGGATCCTGATAGTAAATGAATGCTCACTAACATATTCACGTTTAAATGGCTGTGATTATGTACATACGTATTTAATTTTGAGTACTTCTGGGGAAAGCTGAAATTTCCTTATTATAACAACTAAAAACTGGGTAAAGAAATAAAGAGAATGAAAACTCATAAATTAAAATAACTTGGCTGAATAAAATAAATTATAAATAAAAGATATTGATTAACAATGTTCAACACCCTTGCATTTTTTCTTTTGTTTATATTGTTGCATAACTCACATTACTGCTTGAAAATATAATGAAACTTTTGATTAGCAGTTAGTATTTTATATTAAAATTTCATACACCCTAAATTGTTATACATTACAATTGCAACAAAAGAAGACGTTCGTTTTTATTAATTTTTGGTGATCTTAAAACCCGAAAAATTAATTCTGATCACATCGTCGAAATATATTTACCTGAAATTGGTAATTAACTGTGAATTTCAAACTTCAAATATGTATCAAATTATTGGTTCTTTTTTTGTCTATTCTAAGCTACAATTATGAATTTGACTGTATTCCAACAATAGGAATGTTTAATTTTTCGATTGAGCACTGTTCTTGCTTTTCCGGTGTTTCTGTGTCATGGCTGTGATTGAACTTACCTATTTTTTCAGAAACTTCTACATAATTTATTGGGTCAAACACTTAGGGATAGTTTCGACATTCATTAAAATTGGCAAGTAATATTAGTGTCTAGCTATACGAATTGCATATGTAATTGCGTAACTGTATGATCATGCAGGCTTCAACTTCTGTTGTTCAGACAATAAATAATCGCCGCTTAACGGTCTTAAGTTAAGGGTGTGAAATATTCGAAAAAAAAGTTTTTTTTTTTGTTTCATCATCGGATAGTGTATACTAATATAAAAAAACATTCTCTCAAATTGAAACTGAAATTATTACGGTCACAACAGCATTTCTTGTAGAAACGGAACAGAGTGGGGAACGTAGCAACCAATCTATAAACGCGTTGTTCTCAAACTGGTGTTTTTCGAAACGTTTTCCACTCTCAAGGGAAGAGTCTAGCTCCAATTATGAGAGAACGTGTTTTCGTTATCGCGCTTTTTTCGAAATCTTCGTATCTTTTTCTACGAAAAAGAATGGAAAAATGGGCTAAATTCGATATCTTTTGTTCGAACTGCCACCATTTCATCAAATTTCAAAACAATTTTTTTATTAGATTAAAGTTGCGGCCGCAATCTTGGACATCGTACAGGACTTTGTTTTACGTGTAATTTCAATAATTTATTTAACTATTATGCACCCAATAAATAAACATAAAAACAATAATTTTGTATTCGTCATGATTCGACCGATTACTTAATTTCAACAATAAAAACAAAAATCGCGAATATCAGTGATTTTTCGGAGGGTCACACTGAGATGATCTCTTGATGAAAGATAACATTCTTAATACAAATTTGTTTATAATTGCTTATTAACAAAAAGAACATACATATATGAGATATAATAATATACTG